TGTAAAACTTAATAATACCTGTCATTCAAGTGCTCATCGAGTGCTTGTTGTGAGGGGAACACCGATGAACACATGGCACAGAATATCTTATGGGTGGGCGTGTGTTGCATCAACTGATCCTGATTATTGAACATCTTATGGCAGATATCGCACTGAAATATGTGATGCTTTTTAGCCATATGTCTGTTAAACTCGTCCAACGATGCCATCAAATGATTGCATCTAACGTACGGACACTTGAAGTCACTCAGCGATGATCTCTTAGAAGTAGTCCTCTTCTGTGGAGTGTTTACTACTTGTTGAGAACTGTCAGCCATTGACCGGTGATCTGAATGAATGTCCACTTCATTGATATTGTCATCAATTGACTCGTGTCTGACATTCACTGCAAACACAAAATACACATAAAAATCATTAATACTATTAATCATTCAATTCTTACGATCCGTGGATCCGCTGGACTTCGCATTTGTCTTCAGATCTGCCTTTAAATCACGTCCTCTTGGAGTAACACTTGAATCGCTATTATCACCATTTGCTTCGTTCGTATCCATATCACCAGTTAGTCCACCCATTGGGTCCACACTTCCACGCTTCATATCATACGTTAATTCGTGGTTAACATCGAAATCCATAACTTCTAAAACCATCGCTTCCATAACCTCAACGCCATTGGCTCTTATCTCAGATCTTTGATTATCACTCAAACGGTTACCACTTTTACGGGGTTTCCTGTGTTTGAGATGCGTTTTACGAGTACTTCGTTTGGCAACCGATTTGCTGTTTGTCTTAGAGTTGGGTTTCTGTGCAACGGATCCATACTTCGAGTGATGTATTCTGCGTTTATGTTGTCCCAGAGAACGTTTACTGGTCAATACAGAGGGACAGTCGGGTATATCGCACCGGTAGGTCACACACGGGTGGCGCTCTTTGTGTCGCTTTAAACTTGATAAACGCTTGAACAGAACGCCACAGCCCTCGCACCGGTAGTCGCCAATGGATTTGTGACAAATTTGGTGGCGATTCAGTTTGTACTTATGGCTGAACCGCTTTCCGCACCCATTCTGTCGGCACCTATACTGTCCACTCATGGCGTCCAGTCTATTATAAGCCCTTTTCTTACCGACGCTTTTGTATATCGGGTGATTTTTCAGACTTTTATGCCTTTCCAGGTCCGGGGAACCCGCAAACACTGCCGAACAGCCGGGTATATCGCACCGGTAGGCCTTCTCGGACCGATGCAGTTGTTTGTGTCGATTCAAAAGCGTTACACTTCTATACTGTTTGCCGCACGACTCCCAATTGCACCGGTATTTCGGGATTTTGATGTGTGCCTGAGCTTTGTGTCGATTCAAGTTGTCCGCACGAGTGAACCACTTGTGGCAGTCTTTCCATCCGCAGACATACCGTTCTCTCGGACCACCAATTGGTGTCCTTTTCTTAGCCACCAATTCGTCCAATTCGTAATCACTTCCTCGGGAGTCGTGTCCCTCATTGTCATCGCTATCATCAACACTGTGTCCACCAGTGGTTGTTGTCTTAACCACTGTCTGTGATCTGTTCTCGACTTTTGGTGATTTGTTGAGTATTCCGGCCACCAATCGGTTGATATCATGTAAATCGCGGTTCAGATCCTCAATCGCGCGGCGATTGTCTTCGTAGTCATCGCGTAATTGGTGTCCAACTCGTGTCATCAACTGATCCAATGACTCACTTGAATCACTTGCACCACAAGCGTGTGAAACAGACTTTTCATTCACATCTAGTTTTCAGACAAAAAATATATAACTTTTAATTGACCTCAAAATCGGACACAAACTATAACCACAAATCACTTACTGTTTGACAACTCATTGACTACTTTGGTGTCAATTGCGGTAAACGTGTGATTGAGATCTAAATTGAGTGCAAAATAAATGATTAGTTTTTTAACTGATATTAAAGTAATGTTTAGTTTGTTTTTAATGACAAATGACTTACTGTTAGCCAACTCATGGACTGTGGCATCGCTTTCAAGGCAAACGAAACCCTTTTTAACGGCTTTTAAAGCATTGATTTGTTTGACGAAAGTGTTGGCAATGTTTGCGTCAATGGTGTCACACATTGGCCGCAAATATGACACATATTTGTCGTGTATTTTGGACATCAACTCAAATCGCGTTAAATCCGTTTTGAGACAATCGTTTTGACGACTCAATGACATTATCGTTGACCACAACTGGCGGCGACTGAAGCGCCGAAAGTCACCACTAATTGATCCCATGTTGTGTTGTTTTGTGGGCGCAATGAGTGCACTGACTGTCAAAACAACAGTTGTTTCGTACAAATGCGCGCAAAACATGTGTTCAACACAATGGAGGCTTACATACAATACGTGCGCTAATTATAAGTTTTAAACTTTTTTGGTGGTCTCTCTCTCTCTCTCTCTCTCTTTCTCTAATTAATTAATTAATTAAAATAATTAATAATAATTAGGTAACACTCAATCTATTAAATTATGATTAACCGATTAGTACATAATTAATAAATAATGATAACACTTTTATTTTATTGATTTCGTAGTGTTTAACAAATAGTTAAAATTAAAAATATTTTTTAACCTTAAAATATTAATTAATTTTTGTGTTGCCGAACGAAAAGCTAAATTCTGTTTTATTTTGACTTGTGATGATAGGAATTGATAGAAAAATGCGTTTTCATTGGATTCAAGTGTATTTAATATTGAGTCAAATTTAGTATCACTTTTAACGACATTTCTATCGACAGACCATTTGTTCATTTTTGCCAACACTTCACTACATTCCGGTCTTTCCGTCCAATTCGTGTTAATCATCGAAACCAACAGTTTTTGTAATTGAAATACCGGTGCGTTTAGTACTGTCCACGAGTTTGAATATCGTTGAGCACTATAAACCGTTAAATCAGAAAAACATGAATAAGTTATCGAATTAAATAAATATAATAAATACAAACTTTTTAGTATTTAGAGAAAATAAGTCAAAACCAAATAAATCTCCACCGATTAGTCCCACATTATAAATGTCTGATTTGTGACCATACTTATTACCATGGAGTATCTCAGGTGCCATATAACGGTCATCCCCAACATTTGCTGTGTGTTTGTGTAGTGTTTTGTAGTGAATGTTTTTGTCGTGAACTGTAGCCAAACCAAAGTCACATAACTTAATAAACCTGTCGTTCCTTACATTCTTCGCGATTAATATGTTTTCGGGTTTGAGGTCTCTGTGAATGATCTGTGGATTCAATTCATGTAAATATTGAACGCATTCTAAGATCTGTCGAAATATTTCACACGAAATGAAATACTCGACACAAGTCATAGGATCTCTCGATTGTCTCTCAAATACTTTTAGTTTGACTTCAAGAATATTCTTCAAACTTTGTGAACATAACTCCATTTGAATGTAAAGACAATTATCTACAGTCCATGAGTCGTAATACTTCACCACAAATTGTGAACTGACTTTAACTAAATTCTCCACTTCTTTGTCTAACATGTGTTTCTCATGTTTTGTGAAATCTTTAAAAATAAATTAATTTTTAAAACATTTTAACGCTGTTAATACTGTGAGCTGTATAAATGGTACAAATATATTGAAAATTTTATAAATAAATTTAGTTTATAAATACCTGCAAACTGAATCATTTTAACAGCAAATGGACTGTTAAATTTAGTGTGATATACATTCCCGAAACTACCCGAACCAATTTCAATTAGTTCACTATGGTCACAATATCTTAATGAATTTACAATTGTGCTGTATGTTATTTGATGTTCATTTTTGTAATAATCAATAAAATCGTTATATTGTGTCATAGTCAGCATGTTTGTGGTCTCGGTAATTGTATTAATTTTACCATTTTGTAATACAGTAATAGGGCAATGTGAGTGTGATTGCGATAACTCTTGCATTTTAAAATCTGATAATTGAACAGGCGAATTTTGGTTAATATCGCAAATGTATATAAAACCCGAGTTTGACAGAAAATACGACATGTTCAATTTACAGGCAATCGCTTTGATATTAATTAACGTGGGTATAAATTGTGGCACGAATATGGATTCAGTGAACAGCATATTGGGTCCCAATTGGTTGTCAATATTATTGCCCCAAATGAACACATGGCCGTCAAAGTTGAGGGCAAATGATTTCCTTTCAAAACAATAAATTGTCTTAATTTTGCACGTATTGGGGAATTGTATGAGAATTGGTGTACAAATGGTATCACCTTGAGTATCCCCACACCCGACCTGTCCCTCGCGATTACATCCCCACCCATACACCTGTCCATCGGATGTGAGGGCCAGTGAGTGATGGGAACCACAACTGATTTGTTGGAAATCTTTGTCGTCGAAATACGATATTCTTTCGGCTTTTAAATAATCCTTTTCTGGTGTCACATCCCGACCCAACTGTCCCCACATGTTATGACCCCAGCTATACATATGGTTCACACTATTCATAGCCAACACAAAGTCATATCCAATGAAAAATCTTCGAATTTTTTGATAACATAATTCCCGTACGACTTGTGGTGAATCTATGGCGAGGTTGTGACCCAAACCCAGACACCCCTCCCAATTGGGTCCCAACCCATACACCATATCATCGGTGGTAACGAACAGAATATTTTTATTATTATTAAACAAATCATCGAAAATATGAAACAATAAAATTGTTTCTTTAATATTTGTGTCGAGTTTATCAATAATTGTAAATTTTTCCGTAATTAACGGCATTTTACTTATTAGCAGCTTAGTGCAATTTACCAACTTTCATAATCATAAATAATTAGTTTAATAATTACCGGTTTAATAATGATATTTCATAATACAATGAAAATAAAAATATATTTACTGTATACTAAAATGGTATAACAAAGAAATATATGGTAAAACAGTTGAAATAGTTCGTAGTCGTGGGAAATAATCAAATAGTTTAATCAATATATTTATAAATACGTTAAATGTTAAATGAGCATGCATGTGTATTATTTACTAATATACAAAGTAACTTACAAATTATACATTTACGTTAAGAATAGATATAATACTTCAAGTGTTTTGCATTGTGATACTGTGTTAGTGATTAGCCTGCTGTTAATGGGTTAGGCGCCTGTTTGGAGTGGGGTGTGTGGGCGACTCATACGATTAATGCATTGCCATTGCCTTTGAATATACTGTACTATAATTCTAGACATCAATTATTTAAGCCGGTGATGAATATGCGGTTTAAATAAGGACTGTTATCATATAAATTGTTTCAAGCGCTATAAAGTTAACATTGACAATGTGATTGCTTAAACAAACCTTAACTGGCTTATATTTTGACAATAAAAATCAATGAATATGATTTCAATTGATTTCAATAGTCACATAACTTGAAAAACATGTTGATTCACAACACAATGGATGTTCACATACAAAACGTAAGCAAATTCCAAGTTTTTAATTTGTTATGGCTTTCTCTCCCTTTTTAATTTTAATATACTATTATACTCTAATCAATGGTAAAATTTATTATAAAATCAATTATATAAAACTATGACAACATTACTTGACAACTACTTAATACATCAAAAATATTTAAAACTCCTTTTAATACAGTAGTACATATGAAATCATGATGAGACTAAGCAGTTAAAACTATTATAAAAGTTTACTTAATAAGTTTTATTTTTAATTATTTTTAAATTTTTAAATACTTTTTGTGTCACTGACAGTCGTATCAAATCCTGTGGTATAAGTGTTGACAAGAATTGATAGAAAAATGAGTTATCATTAGATTTAAGTGTATTTAATGTTAATTCAAAATTCGTATCGTTTGCCACAATATTCCTATCGATAGACCATTTGTTATATTTAGCCAACACTTTACTACATTCCGGACGTTTAGTCCAATTGGTTAAAATCATCTTGGATAATATTTTGTGCAACTTGTATACCGGGGTGTTTAATATTTTATTAGTTGTTGAGTACATTTTTGGCCTATTTTGATATAAATAAAATATCTTGGTAATTAACAAAATTAGCACTGTGTTATATAATATAATCAGTGTTTATAATCACCTGTTTGGGTCAATGGTTGAGACCTCTACGTCAAATATATCTTTAGCAATTAGTGCCAAACTATAAATATCCGTTTTGTGACCATACTTGTTACCCTGAGCAATTTCCGGTGCTTGATATCTCAAGTCCCCGACATCTTTCGTATGTTTTTGTGAAGTTCTGTAGTGAATGCGTTTGTCGTGAACTGTAGCCAAACCGAAGTCACATAACTTAATAAATCTACCGTTTGTTACATTCCTCGCAATCAATGTTTTCGGGTTTGAGGTCTCTGTGAATGATCTGTGGATTCAATTCATGTAAATATTGAACGCATTCTAAGATCTGTCGAAATATTTCACACGAAATGAAATACTCGATACAATTCATAGGATCTACTATTTTCCTCTTAAATACTTGTGGTTTGACTTCAAGAATATTCTTTAAATTATCGGAACATAACTCCATTTGAATGTAAAGGCAATTAGTTTTAGTCCACGAATCGTAATATTGAACCACATATTCAGAGCTCACTTTTGATAGGCTCTCCACTTCTATGGATAATCTCTTTTTGTAATAATCTGTAAGATCTATAAAAATATAATTAATTTTAATCAATTTTAATTGTGTTTTATATAATCACCATTAATTTCAATCATTTTAACAGCAAATCCAATATCATGTAGGGTGCGATATACTCTACCAAAACCGCCCGAACCAATAGTAATAGTATCATCATGGTTAATTTGTTTCAATGATAACGTCACCGTATTGTAAGTTATCTGACATTCATTAGCGTAGAAATCAGTGAAATGATTATATATTGTCTCAACCAATTCGTGTGTCTCGTATGACATTTTGTAAATTATGTTATTTTTTAAAACAGTGATTATATTAGAGTTATATGAATTAAATTGTGATATGTCCTGGATATTAGATTCCGGTATTATTTGGTTTACGCCACAAAAGTGTATAAAACCAGAGTTTGACAGAAAATAGGTTATGTGATGAAATGATGAGACAGTTTTGATATCACTTAGAGTTGGTATTAATTGTGGAGATGATATAAAACTAGAGGTAATATTATGTCCCAAATGATTGACATCATTGTAACCCCAACTGTACACAAATCCATCGCAAGTAATGGCAAATGAGTACCAATTATAGCAATAAATAGTTTTTATTTTACGATTATTCGGGAGTTGTATGAGAATTGGTTCACAAATCATGTCCTTTTGATTGTCACCACAGCCTACCTGTCCCTCTCGATTACATCCCCACCCATATACCTGTCCATCGGATGTGAGGGCTAGACTGTGATGATCACCACAACTGATTTGCTGGACATCCTTGTCATCGAAATATGATATTTTGTTGGGTTTTAAATAAAGCCATTTTAAAGTCACTTCTACCCAACTGACCCTGATTATTGTGACCCCAACTGTACACATGGTTCATACTATTCATAGCCAACACAAAGTCTCCGCCAATAATAAATGTCTGAATCTTTTGGTGACATAATTGTGGTATAATTTGTGGTGAATCTATGGGCTGGTTGTGACCCAATCCAAGACATCCCCGATAATTAGATTAAGTGGACATCAGTACATACACTGTATGGGAACTGGAGGTCAACATAAGGCCTGAATGGGGTCAACCACCAGAATAGCCAGCACTTGCATCCACACAAACACACCGCACATACAATAAAATATCAA